CCCCAAAACCCCAAAACCCCAAAACCCCAAAACCCCAAAACCCCTTTTGCTCTAATATTAGTTAATAAGTGTGCATTCAAAATGTGTTTTTGTAAAATATTAAAAAATCCTTTCATTATTTGTTTAGTATATATGCTTTAACTTTCAAAACTCTGAGATAGTTTTCTTTCCTTTCTTTAGGGGACTCATAGACTTTGAATGAAAACTATTACCAGAAAATGATTGAGTGAATCTGTGGCCTCGTGTCTCATTGATTTGCACTTAATTTCTTATGTTTTAGTAAGTTTGTATCATCTCTTCATTTTCGCAGCACTCATAGATCTCGCTCTACTTCTTGAAATTAGCCTAATTGCTATCCTTGCTTGATACGAAGTAGACGATCTGAAGCTTTCCCTCCTTATTCTCTCCGATGAAGTCTAAATCTTCAAAGTTAATACTTAGAGAGAAAGATTTGCTATCAATTAACAGAAAATAGTTTTGGTTAATGTCTTCTCTGAATTCAAACTATAGAGAGATTGTTAAAATATGGAACATAGGATAATTGTAGGGTAAACTTACAACAACTGGTATTCCTTTCAAAGCTCCTGATTTGACTCCAGCAAATTTTCTTTAGAGACTTCTTCCAACGTTATGCTCCATTATTTGGTTTTTCATTAGAACTAACTTTGAGGCAAGTTCGGCACTCTCTTTTTCGTGTCGCATCAAACTTTCTTGCATAGATTCGATAATCTCTTTTCTTAAATTGACCTCATCGACTTTTCTCTATAGTTCTTTCTCTAGCTAGAGTATTTTATCGTTTTTCTCATCGATAGTTTCCTCTATCTTGAGATTTCTATCCATCTCTTGGTTCCTCTGCTTAATTAAGTCTTCATTTTCATCTTATAGCTGCTTGACTTAGCATTGATGTTAATTGGTTTATTTTTCTAATTCCCCTTTATATTGCTCTTTCATACTCTGGATTTCTTTATCTTTAGCCTCTACTTCATGCGCAAAGAAATCTCTCTCTTATATTAATTCTATAATTTTGGCATCGTACAGCTGTCTTATATGATTGTTTTCAGCTACTTATTCATCTACTTTCCTTTTTAATACATTGTAGTCTTCATCCTTGATACGGTATCCCTCCTCTAAGCCCCTAATTTTAGCATTCAACATATCTAATGTCTCAGAGTTAGCTCCTTTCTAATCCAAGATAGCTTATTCACTTTGCTTTTTTGTAGGTGGATTTGTAAATAGCAAAGGCGCCTTTGGACCCTGTGTCTTTGACTTTTATATGTTCCCACCTTTGGATTCTCTTACTAAGGCTTCCTGAAGATTCACACTTTCTTGATATAGTTACAAATATCTTTATTCCTATAGATTTAAGATTATGATTCTATGTGCTCTTCAATAATTTAAGAGATATTTGGAGTATGACGTGAAATATTTTATTACCTTATCATTTAATTAGACTTTCAGTGCCTCTATATTTTTCTATGCTACTTCTAGCTCTTTTTCTACAAGAACACGCTCCTGTCTCTCTTGCTTAAGGGCATTTTTAAGGACCTTAAGTTTCTTTTTTTCGAGAGCTATTTTATTTTGAGCTGGCGAACTCTCAGGGGTCTGATCCTAGGTTGTAGTAGACATTAAATAATCACAAATCTATAATTTAATCTATTATTTTACTTAAAATTATAAATAAATTCATGGTAATAAAAGTGACTTGTCTTGGTGCAGGGTAAGATGTTGGGAGAAGTTGTGTGATAGTCGAGTTAGGAGGAAGAAGGCTTATGTTTGATTGTGGAATTCATATGGTGAGTCCATAATAGTTTCCAGACTTTTATTTTCTTCAAGGCTCTCAATAGCAGACTTTAGACTTTACTTAGCACATTGATTGTGTCTTAATCACTCATTTTCATCTAGACCATTGCGGAGCTCTCACTTATTTCACTGAAGGAGTAGGCTATAACGGCCCAGTCTTAGCTACACCTCCAACTAAGGCCATCATCCCATTGATGCTTGAAGATTTCAGAAAAGTCTCAGCCACCCAATAGAGATAAAGCTAGAATAATCAATAAAATAATAACAACAGTGGTGGTGGTGAGACTGCTTTTACATCGGAAATGATAAAGAATTGCATCAGCAAGATTCAGACTATATAACTGCATGAAACTCTTACGATTAAAGATGATATCAAGGTAACAGCTTACTATGCAGGACACGTGCTTGGTGCTTGCATGTTTTATGTAGAATGCAATGGGGAATCAGTGGTGTATACTGGTGATTACAATATGACTGCTGATAGACATTTAGGCTCAGCTTGGATTGACAAACTTAAGCCAGATCTGGTGATTACTGAGACTACCTATGCAACTACCATTAGAGATTCTAAAAGAGCTAGAGAAAGAGAGTTTCTTAAGCAAGTGCATGAAACTCTAGATAATGGAGGCAAAGTGCTTATACCAGTCTTTGCTCTGGGTAGAGCTCAAGAATTATGTGTCCTTTTAGAAACTTATTGGAACAGAACAAATCTTTAATACCCAATATACTTTACTGGTGGGCTGACTGAAAAAGCTAACTTTTACTATAAACTGTTCATCAATTGGACGAATGAGAAAATTAAGAGGAGTTTTACTAAGAACTAGAATATCTTTCAGTTCCAGCATGTGAAAACGCTGGATACTGCCTCTATCAAGTCAGATTAACCCATGGTCTGTTTTGCTTCTCCAGGGATGCTACATGGTGGATATTCTTTGGCAATTTTCAAGGATTGGGCAGGCTCTGAGAAAAATACTCTAATCATTCCAGGGTATTGCATGCCTGGCACTGTTGGCAATAAACTGCTTAGTGGGGAGAAGAGAATCATGATTGATGGTAAAGAAGTTGATGTTAAGATAAAGATATACAACATGAGTTTCAGTGCTCATGCTGATTCAAAAGGCATTATGGAACTGTTAACTCATCTTGAGGCTAAAAATGTAATGCTTGTTCACGGGGAAAAGGAGAAGATGAGAGTCCTCAGCTAGTAAATCAAAGACTAATTAGGTGTGAACTGCTATTGCCCAGCTAATCATGCACAGCTAAAAATATATACAGACCCAAAGATCGAGATTCTCATTGGCGCACACATAATTAATCTGATGAATCAAATTTACGCGAAGAGTCTGCTAAATTTTTATAGACCAAATTCAACTATGTATTTGAGTAACTGTTTGATTAGTGTCGACAATCGAACAGAAATTGATACAAACATAGAAATATGTAAACCTTTGATGATTTCTTCACATGAGAGCTAGAATTCTCAAATAATTGATTTCGCGAGCTAGCAAAAGCAAGAGCATTAATTTAAAGTTGATTAAACTCTTGATTAGTATGAATAAGTAGATATGGTATTAAACTGGAGTTAGCCAATCTCTGAATCAATTCAAGATATTACCTTGTTTGAAGGAAGATTGACAGATGCAATATTGAACTCGATTCTGGAATAAAAGAAACTAGCATTTGGTTTGAAGAATTTGATATTTATGGATGAAGAGTTGAAAGAAGCTACCCAGCTTGCTCAAGTTATTTAAGACTAGTATCTATAATTAGATCATGATAATAGAACTGTAAGATTAAGTTTCGGGTCTCTAGAGACGGATATAGGCTATTGGCTAAAAGATATCTTAGATTCATTAAATTGATATCACTTAAAGGAATGTTAGATAATTGATGTGATTTATAAATAATAATTAGTTACGTTTATAAGTTTTAAAAGTTATTAAATTAAGTAAGCATAGAATTAGTGACTGTGAATGCAGCCACTAATTCTCATAAATTAAAGTAAAGTGAAAGTAAACTCTATTTTCTTACCGCTCTTCGTGAAGAAAGCTATAAAAATCATACACATAGGCCTTGCATGACATTTAGGAGCACAAATGAATCACTTTAGGCTAGACACAATAGCAAGATGCAAAGGCCACAAGCAACCATAGTCCAGTTGACAATTAGAAACACCCATAAAAATTAGCCTCTCTATTCTATATAGGTCAATTTAAAGAATTCTTCATTTTTCTACTCATCAGTCTAATAATCCCCTGAACATACCATCCCTTCATGTCTAAGTCTGTAAATATTATTCATCACAAAGGCATAGAGCTGTACTAGGTAGGCCAAAGACAACATTAATATAGTATTTTTTATCTTTCTGTTGTCCCAACTAAAGAAAAACAGCCTTAGGATGTCTTGGATGACATTGACCACGATGGACCAGAAGTAAAGTTTCAGTACCTAATCAAAGTTCTAGGAGACATCAACAATATCTCTGCCATTCTTAAGCTGTAGTGATTGAGGAGTGTTACTAATGTAGGTAGCTAAACATTTCTCATCCTTTTCTACAATGAATGTGTAGTAGTAAAATATAGAACCCAATACAATGTTAGTAGTAAGGGAACAAATAATAGTGCTTTTTTAGTTGCAAACCTCCATTGATTGATGATAGGATATTAATATTATAGAAGATTTTATTTTGCGCATTTTACAAATTCGCATAGAGGGGTTTTGGGGTTTTGGGG